TTTTGGTCTATTGCATTGAGTCGTCTAAAAGTTTAGGTTTCGTAGCGGGCGCGGCTGCTTCAAGCCTGTAATCCCAGCACTTGTGGGAGGCCGAGACGGCGGATCACGGGTCAGGAGATCGAGACCATCCTGGCTACACGTGAAACCCCTCGTCTACTAAAATACAAAAAAAAACTAGCCGGGCGAAGGTGGCGGGCGCCTGTAGTCCCGCTACTCGAGGAGCTGAGGCAGAGAGAATGGCAGAACCCGGAGGCGGAGCTTGAGTGAGCTGAGATCGGCCACTGCACTCCAGCCTGGGGACAGAGCGAGACTCCGTCGCAAAAAAAAAAGAGGGTAGGAGGGGTAGGATGAATTCCATATTGTTCTTCATAGTAGAATATGATTATAGAATCACTTATTGGTTAGAACTGGTATTGTGTTCTATATGAAACCCTTATTGATGTTGCTCCATTTGGCTATTTCGGTCCTCTTATTTTTGATGTTTTTCGCTTCTGTATCGTCTCTGTTCTAAGTTTTGTTTTTTTTTTTTTTTTTTTTTTGAGCGTTGAGTCTCGCATCTGTGCGCCAGGCTGGAGTTGCACGTGGCCGGAATCGCAGCGGTCACTCACAAGCTGCCGCCTCGGGGGGTTACGGCATTGGCTCGCTGGCTTCAGCCTCCCGAGGAGCTGGACTACAGGCGGCCCGCCACCTCGCCCGGCTAGTTTTTTTTGTGTATTTTGTTAGTAGAGATGGGGGTTGCACCGTGTTAGCGTAATTCACCTCATTGATAAAGATGACAAATTTTATCAGGAAAATGAGGTTGTAGTCCATTTCCAGTTTGCCAATAGCTTTTTTTTTTTTTTTTTGCCATAAATTGGTTTTTCATCAATTATATAAGTATATAATTGAGCTTGGCTGTGAGTGGCAGAAAATTCCAAACTATATAGAATTTTATTTCTCTCGCAACTAAAAGACTGATTAGGTGGCCCAGAGCCAAGTTCCCTCTAATATTTTGAAATTTGGTAAGATCTTTATTCCTAAGATCACATCAAGTACAACATGATTACTCCAATTCCAGTCATTACATCTGCATTCTAGGGGGCAGGAAGGAGAAAAGGGAGGAGTGATTATGTTTCCACTTTAGGGGTACTACTGGAATTTGCATATGTCACTTCTACTTACATCCCAATGGCAGGAACTATGTTATATGCCCTCACCCACTTGAAGGTGGCAGTGAAATGCAGGCAATTTTCTTGACAGTGATGTCTCCAAATAAAATAGAGATTCTACAGAGGAAAAAAGAGAGAACCAATGTGAGAGGGAGGGATCAGCAATCTCTCCCAAGTATACAGCTGCCAAAAACCCAAGAAAAACATGATACTTAGTGGTCAAACATTAGAAGCATTCTCTTTAGAGTCAGGAGCAACTCAAGAGTGCCTGTTATCACAGCTTCTCTTAACCCTTATATTAATATTAAAAGTCCTAGCCAGTGCCAATACTCTTCAAAAGAATAAGAATTAGAAAGAAGGGGAAAAAATGTCCCTGTTTATAAACTATCTGATAATTTACATTAAAAATGCAGGAGAATGTGTAGACAAACAATTCAAACAAGAAAATTCAGTATTCTGAATACATGTTCAGGGTATGGTATGAGAGTGGAAAAAAATTGTGTGTGTGTGTGTCTGTGTGTGTGCTCTTCCATTTAGGATAGATATCTAGGCAGAAATATCTGCAAGACCTATTTAGTCAAAATTATAAAACATAACATAAAAGATGCACTGCATAAATGATGAGACACTGAGGAATGGAAAGACAATTGTGTCAATCTGGCAGATCACCCTGTGAATTTATAATGAATCTATGAATCATTGTAATTCCAACCAGAATCCCAACAAGGCTTCATGGAATTTAACAATCTAACCCAAAAGTGGGTGTGGAAGATTAGATACTCAACTAACAGAGATATGTTTGAAAAAGAAAACTAAAGAGAGGTGATTTGCCCTACCAGGCTAATTATATAAGGTTATAATTCTTTAAGCAGTGTGGCTTTGGGGACAGGAATATAAAAATAGGCTGAAAGGGCCTGGCACAGTGGCTCACACCTGTAATCCCAGCACTTTGAGAGGCTGATGCGGGACGATCGCTTGACGTCAGAAGTTAGAGACCAACCTGGCCAACATGGTAAAACCCGTCTCTACTAAAAATACAAAAATTAGCTGGGTGTGGTGGTGCACGCCTGTGATTCCAGCTACTCTGGAGGCTGAGGTATGAGAATTGCTTGAACTCAGGAAGTGCAGGTTTCAGCGAGCCGAGATCATGCCACTGCACTCCACCCTTTGGGTGACAAAGGGAGACTCTGTCTCAAAAATTAAAAAGTAAAAATAAGCCAAAAGAATGGAATAAAGGGTATAGATACTGACAAATACATACATGGAAGGTTGATATAGAACAGAAGTCTCTTACATATCGGCAGGGAGTGGCAAACATTACCTTAGTGGTCCTAAGACAACTGACTATGTACAGGGAAAAGGAATTTACATCCCTATTTCATACCACAACAAAATACATCCTACATGGACTAAAAACCTTAACTGTATGGTAGGGTGGCAGGGAGAATCTTAAAATCACAAAGTAAATACAGGAGAATGTCTTTATTACATTTTCAAGTTTCTTAAATAAAATAACAAAAGCATAAATAACAATGATCATTTTGAATACATTTAAATATTAAAATTCTATTAAACAAAAGACGCCAGACACAGTGAAAATGCAAGCCACTGGAGAAGTTAATTATAGTATATATTACTGGATATTAGCATCAAGAATATTTTTAAATCTCTATAAATTAATAAGAAAAAAGCAAGCAATACAGTAGAAAATTTGTCGATGGTATCAACAGTTAATTGTTAGAAGGAAACTAAATAGCCAAAAAACATAAAAGATACTCAACTTCAGTAATAAATGCAAATTAAAACCACAATAAAGTACTATTTAACATCCATCAGATGGGCAAAATTTAGAAGTCTGAGAAGCCCAAGTGTTGCTAAGGATGTGGAAGAAAAAGAAAAAAAGAACTTGTAAATATGGCTGGTGTGAATGTGTATTGTTGAAAATCACATTGGAGGACAATGTTGCAATATCAAACAAAGTTGATGAGCACATGCTAACCTATGACCTAGCAATTCTGCCTGCGGGTATGTATCCTGAAAAATTCTCATGCATATGCCCAAGGAGAAATGAAATACAATGTTTTTTGTAGCACCGTGTTTAACAGCAAAACATTGGAACCAACCTAAATGTTCAAAAATATAATCGTGGACAGGGCTCAGTGGCTCATACCTTAATCCCAGTACCTTGGGAGACCAATGTGGGTAGGCGGACCTCTTGAGCCCCGGAGTTCAAGACCAGCCTGGGCAACATGGTAAAACCCTGCCTCCACAAAAAATACAAAAATTAGCCCAGCATGGTGGCTCATGCCTGTAGTCTCAGCTACTCAGAAGGCTGAGGTGGGAGGATCACCTGAGCCTGGGGAGGTTGAGGCTGCAGGGAGCTGAGATCACAACACTGCACTGCAGCCTGAGTGACAGAATGAGACCGTGTCTCAAAAAAAAACGAAAAAAAAAAAAGAATGCTGGATCAATAAATGGTCATACAAATGCCAAAGTCATACAATGAAATACCAACTATGTATGTGCAAAATATATAATAACCAGGCAGGAAGGATATATGCTAATTTCAGGATAGTGATTATCTTTGGGCAGAGAGCAATGGAATTGGGCAGTGGGTGCTATGGTTAAAATGTATCTGTAATGTTAAAACAAACAAGCAAAAAACTCAAGTCAGGCAAGATGTCAACACTGGTTAAATCTGTGAAAAACAATAAGCCTGGATCATACTGCAGACTAATAAGAAATGCTTTCCAGAGCCACTTCAGAAGAGCGTGGGGAGTGGACTACCATGTTTGTAACGCTGAAGAAGAGGATGAGCTTGTTTGTGCAGATTTCCTAATGACACAAAATAAATTGGCAACAGTGATGGCCTCTGAGGGAGAGGGATGCAGGAGACTGGGGTGAGCAGAGGAAAAAGATCTTTACATCCTTTTTCTATTATTTGGCTGTTTTTATCACTTGCATATATTTTCTCAATAGTAAAAAAATTAAAGCAAAAATGTATTTTTAATAAAAATGATTCCTACCACAACAATGCACTTAAAGCCAAAATTACTATTTTGAGGAGCATTTTGCATGAAGTATAAGTGTACCCTTATACTTGCCACCTTCCCAAATGACTGATTTTTCTACAGTGTTCCTGATAATAAGTTCCTCATGATCAGTCACACAGAAACATACACCCTGCCTGCTACATCTGCGTTAACTGTGCATCTATTTATATGGGATGACAGATACTTTCCCTAATAAATCTTACCGTTTTCCCTGCTAAGGAACTGCATGCCGACTAAATGGTTGATGACACATGGGAGTTATTCCTACAATTTCCCCACACAGTAAGACAAATCAGTGCAATGCAGAGTTCTGTTACAAACACTAACAGATTTGGAGCATGTCAGAAAGTGGGGGGGTGGTATACAATGAAACCATGTTTCTAGACTTTCCTACCAGAGACAGCTTGAGGCAATCTGACAGCAAAGGCAGGATCTGAAGTCCTAAACTCAGACATTTCATCTCCATGAGCTAATTTACAACCAAGAGAGCCATGATACTGTCAGATCTAGAACTCAACTACTTTAAACAGTGACTTTTTGTCTTATATTTTACATTGATTTTTTGAAGTGTTATGTTGTTTAAAAGCTAATTACCTTCTTAGAGCACTAATCTCAAACCTTTTCAAACCTAGGACCACTTTAGGGAACAAAACAACCATTTCTCACTGCTGTCTTGTTATCCCAAGCTGGACTCCAAGGGCCCCAGGCCCCACTTGGTGTAAGGTAGAGAATTCTGCTTTATACCAGTTTACAGGTGTCAAGGAGGCAGGAGAGAGACTCAGGGTAGTGAGGAGAAAGAAGATCAGAGTCATCTCTTTTTCATGTCTTTCATTTCACAACGTCTTCCTTCCCATGCCTGCTGGTGCGCTCCCTCGCCTTGTTCCAGAGCCAAAAGACAGGTCAACTTCACTGCTTTTTATCCAAGTTGGCAGAGGTTGTGGCAGCGGGGTGGTAACTCTGCCCGATGTTCCCAAGCTGCAGTTGGGACATTTCCAACAGCAAAGTCACTCAGTAAACAGTTCTCTGTTTCTCTTTTCCTCGAGTTGGCTGGAATATCTCTAAGCCCTAGTACCACCCACTCTTTAATTCAAGACAAGCCCACAGACCAGAAACTTCACAGATCACTCTGTCTTAAGACAGTCTTTTGCTGGGTACAAAATACCATGTATAAAATTATTGATATGCTACAATTATTTCCATTCCAATTCCTATAAATTATCCTTTTTGACGTTCAGTTTTTCTATTTTTATTAATATCCCTTGTACATCATTCAGTTCAATATTCAAAAACCTCCTTAGATGTTTATTTTGCGCCTCGCTTTATGCCAGGTATGGTGATGGTGGGGCAGTGGGGGCGGGGGCAGATAAGCAAATATTACATTAACAGTTACTTATTTTAAGATGTTTACAAACTAATTGGAGAGAGAAAAGCCAATATGAAGCAAGTAGTAACTCAAGACGAATTATCTTTAAACTCTAAAAGTGGAGGGAAATAGCAAAGACACGGAGAGGTCAGGAAAACTTTAAGAAAGATGTTGGCTGGGGCTGGGATTTGAAGGAGAAGTGGAGGTTGAGGAGGGCTTTCCAGGTCTGACAAGATGGTCAAGCTTCAGAGGCTGATTTCAGCAGAGCATATTGTGGGACTGTCAGAGACCAGCTTAATAAAGCAACTCTGACACCAGAAAACTGGTAAACAAGCAAGCAAATAAAACCAAGAACAGGTTGGGCACGGTGGCTCACACCTGTAATCCCAGTACTTTGGGAGGCCGAGGCAGCTGGATCACGAGGTCAGGAGTTCGAGACCAGACTGACCAATATGGTGAAATCCTGTCTCTACTAAAGAGAAATACAAAAAGTAGCCAGGCATGGTGGCACGTGCCTGTAGTCCAGATACTCGGGAGGCTGAGACAGGAGAATCACTTGAACTCAGGAGGCAGAGGTTGCAGTGAGCCAAGATCGTGCCATTGCACTCCAGCCTGGGCTACAGAGCAAGACTCCATCTCAAAAAAAAAAAAAAAAAAAGGAAAAGAAAAAGAAAAAGAAAAACAAGGGTAGATTAATAACT